CGTGCACGTTCCTGAGAGTGTGTGTGTGACGTGCACGTTCCTGAGAGGTCACAGACAGAGCAGCTCCAGCTTTTGTTGAGTTCCTGTAGTCCTGCAGGTTTCCAGCTGAAATGAAAAAACATGAATATGAACTTTACAGTCTATAGTTACCTGTTCATATAAACACAGATTGGAGGTGTCTCACCTTGTGACTCACAATAAAATATGTAACTTTATGAACTCTAATGAACTTATAATGATGCTCCTACTCTTTGAAGTTGAACCGATGGTACCACACCACATCTCAGTCGGACAGTCTGATCAGTTTGATCAAAATCCTCCTGTTTAAAATCCTCATTGCTCAGATGAATCCTCCTCAAAGATACTTCCACCTCTTCCTCACATCTTGTTCTTTGGGAAACCTTCAAAATGAAAACAGGAGATTTGTGTCTACACAAAAACATACTTAACTAACATACATACAAAAACAATTTAAACAAAACTCCAATTATGATACATATCTCTTGATAATGAACCAAAGCTACTAAAATAGTGAGTATGCTTGTTAGAAAAATATTCCTGTCATCAGATCTCAGTCAGCTTCATTGCAGCTGAACACTGTGTTACACTGAACATCACATCAGCTGGTGGACATAAATACAGTACAGTATAACAATAATATGTTCATCTTACTTGTGAAAAGTTATCCCCCGAGACCTGACGTCAACAGTCCGTTGATTAGAACAGAAATAAGCTGCGAAGTGCTGAGACATCTTCTGCTTTAACCAAATAAGGACGACCGTTCCAAGATGGCGGCCGAAAATCCTTCGCTGCAGAGATACCTACTTGAGATACCTACTTGCAGCAGTCAGTGCTGTATCTAGTGTTTATATCTATGCTCCGCAGACTAAAAGTGGGCGTTTCTGGCAAATAGGCGTTTGTGGATGGCGAACACTGATTGGCTATGGGTAACCCTCAAAGTCACGAGGATTATTCATGAGGTAATGTGTCTTTGCGATGTTTGACAAAGAAATATGATTTATTGTACTTATAAAGTATGTTATGTTTTCACTTATGCATATTATTGAAGTACGTTTATTGTAGGTCACGATAGTTTCGACCGTTCTCTCGTCGTGCTTTAGAAGTTTAGCTCATGTGAAAACATGGTGGGGAATTCCCATGCAGGTAACGCCTTAGATATCATATAATCACTATATGATATCTATGGGTGACGCACTGAGGTAAAGTGAGCCTCCACTCGGCTCCAGCTGCTCTCACTGTGCACGTTTACAACAACTTTGTGTTGCGTTTCAAAATAAAAGCTGAAAATAAAAGTTCTTAATACTTGAAAAATAAATATTTTAAAGCTGTGTATAACTGAAAAATATGAAAAACAAATAAATAAAAGTTGCTATTAGCTGAAAAATAAATAAATAAAAGTTGTTAATTATATCTATGTTTTCTGCCATGTCAGGAACCACTTTCACTTCAGGTTGACTCTAGAAGACCCCAAGATGTTGCTCAACAATGTTGACCAACATCTGATGTTGACTTTCAAAATAAACGAAGAAGCCTGAAGAATTTCAGGCTGAGCACAGAAAGCCTTATGTAATTTCTGTCTGCTTAAGCTGTGGGGAAGAATTTAAAGAGTGTGGTGCAGGTTTCTGGGGCAGCGGCAAAAGAGGCGAGCTGAGGGCCTTCTACAGTGAAGCCATTCCTCCTGGGTACTGCACCCACTTCTGTGCCATGGATGCAGGGTTAGTAGTCCAGCTTTTGTACTGTGATGCCCACACATTACAATAAGTAACAACTAGCAACACCCTAACTGTACTATGTTTTGTGTTTCCAACAGATGCTACGATGACTTCTAAAAATGGATGTCCCAATAAACACAATAAAAAAAATTCAATGATACATCAAATGTTGTCTGAGTATGTTTTAAGGTAATAACAAATGTGAAATCTGGAAAACAAAGACAATTCCTGAATCTGTCTTGTGTGCTTTGACGTGTACATAAGTTTATTGGAGGTCCTGAAACAACTTTTCTGAGAACACAAAGATTTTTATTTTACCTTTGGCCAAGATGTCAGTTTGAAATCAGGCTGCTTACTGCAAAACCAAGAGTTTTTTTTAAGACAGTCTTCATTTGTATTGTTTTGTCGACTAAGTTAAATTTATTTAATTTTTTTTTTTTTTTTGCTTTGTTTTGTTTTGTGTTTTTTTGAATGTCCAGAGGACCAGATTGAACTTTTTTGGATTTTTCTACCTGGATTATTGAGCATGCATCAGGATAAGTTAAATTTAATTTCTAAAATATGGATAAATCTGATCTCATCATGCAGCATAAGCAACTGGGTATAGGTGTGAGGGCCAAACGTCTGGTTATGTACTGACTCCTAAAAGTGCTTGTTTTCTACTTTTATGTTGTTGTTTTTTTTGGCAGCTCCTTTTAATGTGGGCAAATCTGAAACATTGTCACATGAACAAATGAGATAAAACTGTCTCTTTAAGTAAGTTACATCAGCTCTTTTTTTAAACTGAAGGTTTTTAAGGAACAGCGTTAAATCTACTGTCAGACACAAGAAGATTCTCTTTTGTTCTTGGGTGTAGGCTGCACCTGACACAGGTTGGCTTGAGTGTGGTCTGGGTACAATTAAATATGAAGCATCTGAAGTGAAATCTGCTCCCATTTGTCCAAAAAGTCTGGTCTCAATTAAAGATCATGAGTCCTATGATGAGATAATGGCCCAAAACAAACGCTAAACACAAAGTTTGCTCTTTAGAAGTGCTCTTCTATGAGATCTGATCTATGAAATGAGCTGAAACATGGAGTAGGGTTGCCCTTTAAAATGTGAGACAGCTGAGGAAGTTAACCAGTAAACAGAAATACCTGCTTCAGTTGCAGAAATCTTACATAAACTGACAATCACTCATCTGCAGTGACTGCAGGTTGAACAAGACAATGTAAAGTTAAAGGAAACATCCTTTGTCCCACGGCCATTTTAAATATCATTAATATTTTTCTTTCATTATGAATCGATTGTAACTTTTTTCACATTTTTCAACAACCAAAATGGAACTTGTTTTTTAATTTAATTTGTTACGGCTAGGTATTTAAAAAAAACCTAACATTTAGCCCTCCCTACTACCCAGTTATGCTGCTCTTATTTTGAAATGTAACCGGAAGTTCTGTGTTAGGAGAAGCGGAAAAAGGAAGTTATGGAGACGCCGCCAGTGTTGAACCTGAGACGCCGCTAATGTCGAACCGGTTAACACCATAGACATAATATGCCTGTGGTTAACACAATCTGCCAATAACGCCTTGTTTTTAGACATAATGTGTCTGTGATTACAGCATTTTATCGTTCAGCCTTTTTTTCTATCGTCCAATCAGATGTGGCCGACCAGACACGCCCATTTTTCTATTGTCCAATCAGATGCGGCCGTCTAGACACGCCTATTTTCCTATAGTCCAATCAGATATAACCGCGCAGAGATACCTACTTGACCTGCAGGCCAAGTTTATGAAAATTAATAAATGTTCGAATATTTTCACAACTTTTCAAGTAAAAAAAACAAAACAAAAATAT